ACATATATGTGTGTGTGTGTGTGTGTGTGTGTGTGTAAATTATATATATATACATATACATATGTGTGTGTGTGTTGTGTGTGTGTGTGTGTGTGTGTGTAAATATATATATATACATATACATATGTGTGGTGTGGTGTGTGTGTGTGTGTGTGTGTGGCGCGCGCGCGCATGAATATATATGCATATAAATAAACATACAAGTTTGATACAAAATGAATATCAATATATCAAACAAAGCATCATATCCATTTCACATATAAATCTTTCAGCAAATAAAGTGAGACCACTTAGCTTGCCTGACCTGGCTCGACCTCCGACCGAAAAAGCAGGTCACGTGCAATATTAACCAACTGTGGGTCGAGGTTTTACACAGGCTGCTGTCCTTGTCCACCGGGAATCGTTGCTGGTGTTGTCACCTTTCTCTCTCTTTCTCTATTTCTCTCTTTATTTCTTCCTTTCTGTCTGTATGCCTGTCTCTTTTTTGAAAAATCTCTCTCCGCATTTCTTTCTTTCTAACTTTCTTTCTCTGTCTTTCTGTATTTGATTCTTTTTTTTTTCCCTCCTCTCTCCTTTCCTTTCCATTTTTCTTTCCTTACCTTCTTACTCTCTCCTCTCCTCATCCACATCCTCTCTCCTCCTCTCCCCTCCTTGCCTCTCTCACTCAATCCCACCCTACTCACTACCCCCCTCATATACTATATATATATAAGTATATATACATACTATTATAACCCCTCACCTACCTCACTCACCTCCTCACCCCTCACTACCTCACCCACCTGTCGTCATCCCGCCCTCCGTGTTCCGCGCGCGCGGGGCCGTCTCGCTGTTTATACTCACGCCTATGCCTCACTACACACACACACTCGCATCGGTATGCTCGCCTCGCATACGTAGGCGTACGCTCGCTACAAGACACAGGGGAAGGTGAGAGTGTGTAAACTACCATCTACTTTTACGCGGCGAACTTATTACACCACAATGCAATCAGACAATAAGAGGCGGGCAGGGAACGAAAGAGATATTGTGCGAGACCAGCCAAATCCGCAGCACCGACACACGCAGAGAAGAGAGAGACGCCGACGCAGAGAGAAAGAGAAGAGCAGAGACGAGACGCCACGAGAGAGAGAGAGCGAACGCACGACGCACGTACGAGACTACGATGCCAGTAAACGACGAGAGACCCCAACGAGAGACCGTCGCAACCTCCGCCAGAGATGATACGACCGCGTCTAACCCCCGCAGTAGTCATGAGTGGAGCCACGACCCCCGACCAGACGACCGCACCGCCCCAGCCAAGCCCAGATTCACGCCCCACGCACCCCAAAGACAAATAACCCACTCGCCACAATGCGTCTTCTCTCTCCTCTTCTTTACAACCTTCGTCCTCTACTCCCCGCCCTCCCACCACTCTCTACCCCCCTCTCCTCACACACCACACGCACCAGACACAGCAATGTCCCAACAGAGTCGCCACTGGGATTCACCAGAATAAGATGTGCGCAAATTCTCACCTTATGGAGCCCTAGAACATCGAGCCTTAACTGTTTTCCAGGGCCAGAGGTAAATCACGAACCAGCACCCAGAAGCATGACGAGAAGGCTGGAGTTTCGCCAAAAATACATTCTACCTCCACTGCTAGTCGTCTTACTCACCGTTTCGGGATGCAATGCCTAGAATGCGAGAGGAGAGATTGAGTGAGTACGAAGGAATTCTATAGCAGTTTACGCTTATCTTAGTCTCCAAACGAATAAAATCTATAATGAACCGCCACTGTCGAGGCATAGAGCTAAAAAAAATATTGTTTATTGGAAAATGCAACTACTACGACGAGGTAAATAACTTCAGAAAAAAAAATATATATATATCATCGGCTACCGATTATTATGTTTCGAAAACGAAGAATATAATAAAGCAACCGCTTCCCTGTGTTTATATAATCATCTTAGAAAAAAAACGAACATACGGCCAAGTTAATGGTGAAAAGAGAGAAAAAAACTACCTCTTTCTTCCTGTGGTTTTTACCATTTATTACGAAAAATTGAAACTTATGGCAGTTTAATGGTGAAAAAAAAAAGAAAAAAGCTAACTCTTCTTTCCTGTGTTTTACGTTTTAGAAAAAAAATGAAACATACGGCAGTTATGGTGAAAAGATGAAGAAGAAAAAGATGTTTTACGTTTATTTAGAATATTTTAAACATTCTGCAATTATGGTGAAAAGAAAAGAAGAAGAAAAAATACTACCTCTTCTTCCCTGTGTTTTACAATTAGTCAAAAAAAAAAAATGAAACACACGGCAACTATGGTGAAAAGAGAGAACTACCTCTCCCTATGTTTTGAAGTTTATCTAGGAAATGAAACAAAAGCGAAAAAGCAACTTGAAACTCTTAATCCTTTTGTCCTTTTCACACAGCGACAGGAAAAAAAATTGTGCGCTGCTCTCGTAAAAAAACATCCCTGAAATTCCTGCCTGGGGCGGCGCCTTAGTTGGTTTTGTTATGTTAACTTCTTACGGATGTTACTTTTCCCTCTGTTTCTATATTATGTATGGGTATATAATATATATATATATATAATTATATATATAATATATATATATACGTATATTTGTGTTGTGGTGTGTGTGTGCTGTTGTGTGGTGTGTGTGCTGCTGTGTGTGTGTGTGTGTGTGTGTGTGTGTATATTTGTTT